AAGAAGAAAAAATGGTTTCCCTATTTATACCAACCCAGCCCCCAATATTTAGATATCAATCACAGGCTAACTCCACCTAAACATGTCCCCTATCCCTGTCAAGGCCCCTTTCCACTAAGCTGCACTTGTTACATAGGACTATACCATGTGCACCTAGCACCTCCCACACTGTTGTGCAATTACATTTATTTACATAGAGCAAACATATACCACAGCACTGTACAATAGGCAAACAAGACACACAATTAATTCTAAAAAAAACATGTATGACATATGGGAACAGGTGGTAAAGCGGGCCTTGCCCAAAGAAGCTCACAATTTAAAGGGATGAGAGACAAATGCACATATGGGAGTGAGGGAATCAAGAGATCAGTGTTTGGGTGGAAGGAGTATATGGGTCAAATATGTCTTGTGATGAGTGAGACAATTACTTATTCCCAGAACTATCGCTGGGAATTGACTGAACTTGATGGTGATAACATCAACTTTTGTCATATTTTGTCAACTTGAGGCTTACCATAAGACAGAGTAGTGCCTGTTTGTTCTCATGGGAGGCTTTCCCCTTGTGTAATTGTACTTCTGGCAATGTTAGAGACAACATTTAAACCCACTGAGCAAAATATATTGTAGAAAGGGGCCTTGGAACAGTTGCTTACATACACAGCTGGGAATCTAAGCTCAGTGAGAGATTGGGTAATGTTTTTCAGTATTTTGTATTACACCCATTGTGAGGAAAACAGCCTCTAATGCAGATTTACTTATAGAAGTATATACATCATGCTAGAGCATGTGTGCCCAAAAAGATATATCTCACATGTTTTAAAACTACAGCTTCGATGATGCTTTGTCTTTCTAAAGCCATTCTAAAGGCATGCAAAGCATCAAGGGAGTTGTCGTTCTACATCATCTGGGTTCCAACTTTTTGGACACCCCTGGGCTATAGGAAACAGGAAACTTCCCTGTTATCATTCTTGGCAGGATTATTAGAGATAATATAGTGTTACTGTGTGATTACCCTAACATACAGGATATGTGAAACCCCCAAATAGAGGGTCAACTATAGATGTATCAACAAGCCTTAGAGTGGCTGTAGTTAATGTTATATACACATATAGACAGAAAATACTCAAGGTCAGGATTATAGAAATTCAGATATATAAATAAACAAGCCGGGTCAGGAATACAGAAATACTCAAAGTTAATATACAAGCCAAGGTCAATATCAGAAATTCAAGAGAGACCTACTTTAAGAATTATATGTGTATCAAGGTAGAAAATACAGTAGGGCACTGAATGAGGGCCCAAACAAGCATTATATAGGATACTGGCTTCTGATTGGTCTATGCCATATTTGCATCTCAATAGGAGGCTCTGTGAACCAATTACATACAAGAAATTTCAACAGGGAGGTGTGAAAAGCGTTTGGTATACGCATAGAATGGGGCAAATCCTAAGTGAAAATGAAACAAATACACTTTATGCAGGACACATAAAGGGCCAATGAAATGAGGAAAATTTCTTGGAATGCACCAAAAGACTCGTATTGCATGTAGAAAGCAAGACCCTGTCCCTAACCACATAGAAAAGAGCTGCATGAAGATGCTTATCAGCCTGTCTCTTCTGGTGCTAATAAGAAAAAAAACAAGTGATGTTGTTCTTGCTCCCATTTACTACTTAAACCAGAGTTGGCATTCCCTGTGAGGAGAAAGCAGTTGGGAGAATAACAGGATGCCGGCCATAGAGGATTCGTAAGCAGAGTTATTGAGAGCAACAGCTGCATTAGTCTGAGGGTTATAGGCAGATGACAAGGACAATACAATTCTCTAAGCAAAAAGACCTCCAAATACATGAAACTAATTGACTACCTCTATCAGTTACAATGTGTTCTGGTATACCATGTAAACAAAATACCTCCTTAGAGAAAACCTTAGCTAACTCTGCTGGAGGGGTGTTTATTAACGGGTTTAAAATGAGCTATATTTGAAAATCAGTCAACAATCATAAGAATAACTGTGAATCTATTGGAAAGGGAAAGTTCAACAATAAAGTCTATTGATATGCTAGAACAAGGTTTTGTAGTTATCAGTAATGGTTAAAGAAAACCACATGGCACTCTGTGTATGGCTTTATTTTTTGCACAAACGTCACAAGCCTGAACTTATGCTTTAACCTCCCCTATGAGAGATGGCCACGAGAAGTCACAAAATATAAGGGTTGTAGTTTTAGTAATACCAGAGTGCCTAGCAGATTTGTTCTCATCAGATAAAGACAGAACATCCTTTCTGACTTCAGGTATGACATATAACTTTTCTTTAGGTTTAATCAAAGTTATATAAAATATAGAAAGAAGAGTTGTAACTATAATTCGTTCTGGAGGAATAATATGGCTTACCTTAGTCCTGTCTTCCTCAAACTTATCAAATTGAAAAAGCATGAGCTTTAGCGTTAGGTCGTCCAGGTCTAAACGTAATAATGTAATTAACCATGTTACCTTTCCTAGGTACGATAAATTCTTATAATCATTAAAATAATATGATCTTTAGAACCCACTAGGAGATGCCTCCATTTTTTTATGCAACAATAATGGCTAACAGCTCTGTATTCCCTATATCATAAACATAATTACATTCTGCCTGCATTAGTTTCCTTAACTAGAATCCACATGAGTGTAATGGTTAGTCTGGGCACTTACACTGTGATTAAACACCATTTATTCCTATCTCAGAAACATTTACTTCCAACATAAAAGGAAATGTAGGTTTTGGATGTCTGACAGTAGGAGAAGAAGGAAAAGCTTTTTTTGTTGTTTCTCAAACACTTCTATAGCTTCAGAGGATCATATAGAGTGTTCTGAATCTTTCTCAGGGAGGTTTGTAACAGAAAACACTGTGGGTGTTCCGACACATTTCTATCATGATTTTTCAGCAATTTGAGCTACAGTAACTCTTCTGTGTGATCAGATCAGACGTGCTAACATTCACTCCACACATACCTCAATGAGCCTTGATGCCGGTTCACTTGTTGTCCTTTCTTGCACCACTTTTTATACTAACCTCTGCATACCGGGAACAAGATTTGCCATTTTGGAGATTCTCTGACCCAGTCATCTATCACCATTTGGCCCTTGTCAAAGTCACTCAGATCTTTTTGCTTGCCCATTTTTCTGCTTCCAACACATGAAATTCAAGAATTGAGAGCCCACTTGTTGCCTAATATAGCCCAACCCATGATAGATGCCATTGTAATAGAATATATGTTATTCATTTAATCTGTCAGTGGTTTTAAAGTTATGTTGATCAGTAAGTGGTTTTATTTTTGTGGTTGATCAGTATATATGGCTCTCAGCTAACTGAGTGCCATGTACAGTGCCATGTTATATGTATATTTTGCACTTTACCATGATCCCAATCACAGATTTAATAAGAAAGATGAAAAAAGGGTAGATTATTATACAGGTATGTGCACCCTGGATGAAGATTTCCTGAGATATTTGCTTCCTGTCTGCACCATCTGTGCCAATGCAGTTTGATGTTTCAGCTGTTTGTTATCCTCTAGCCGATTAAACTTTTTATCTTCAATTGAAGCTAAACCTTCAAGATATCTGTTTATACTCCAGTCAAACTGATCTGTTAACGACTCTGGCAATTTGGTCTGTTGCCCTCTCTAATTCCTGACCACTATTTTCATAGTAGCATTTCTGACAAGGTGAATCACTATCATCACCATTATGGAATATTACAAAGGGTTAGGATGCATTATGATTACTTGTCCTTCTTTTTCTGCTTTTCCTTCTAATATTATCAATATGCTCCCTCGCTCTCACTTTTTTTTTCAATTTGACAATTTTTATTGGACAGTACATGTGCGTTTCACTTTATGTTACATTTGCTTTTAACAAAAACTTTTGTCATGACATATTACATGAATACATTCTTAGGTATATTCGTGGTTACCACATCGCTGTGGGTTTTTTGGGTTTGGACGCGGGTAGATGGATGCGTGAGATTTATTATGGTACAGCATACAATACAAGTCAAGTCATACAGAGAACATAAGGATTTTTGCATAGTTGCTTGCACTGTGCCTTTTAAACAATAATCTAGGGTAGGAGGGGAGGGAAGAGTCAGGGGTGGGGGAAAGGGGGGTGTAACTTGGTGAGAGAGAGCTGTTTGATTCGCAGGGTTTCTCGTATTTACCTTGTCTGTTTTAGACTCATGGTCTAAATAATCATTCCACATTTTGTGTGCTGATCTCATGTGTTTATTTATACCATATTGGTTTGCATAGGCCATTTCATAGGCCCAGTTAAGTTTTATTTGATTGATTAGGGCTTCCCCAGGCGGGGCTGTTGTTTTTTCCCAACATCTGGTTATATTTATGGCCGCTGAGATTAGTGTGTGGTAGATTACTGCCCACTTGTCTTTGTGGAGAGGTTCTGGTGGGATATAGCTCTAGGGTTAGTGTTATTTGCGTTTGTGTGACTTTGGTTATGATGTCTCGTACTACCTGCCAGTACTGTGTGAGGATAAGGCAAGTCCACCAAATGTGCTGCATGTTGCCTGGGGCATGCCCACATCTCCAGCATCTATCTGAGGATTGTGGCCAAATCTGGTGAACCCTGGATGGGACTAGATACCTGCGGTATATTAATTTGCGTTGCATTTCAATATGCGTGACACATGAGGTTACCCCTCTGTGTGAAGAGTATGCTTGGGACCATTTGTCTAGTGGTATAATTGGATGTGCCATGATTGGATGTGTGTGTCCTTCTCTTGGTCCTGAGCCAACCCCAGTATCAGTGTTTTGTAGGTTGTATATAGTAGTTTTTTGGATGTTTTTTTTTAGATCAGCTCAAATTTGGACATTTGTGGTGTTTTGTCGCTATCTCTCGTGCTGGGTTCATTCTTTGTTAGGTAGGATTTGATTTGTAGGTATGCAAATGTGGTAGGTTGAATTCTCGTTGTATATCTGCAAAGGGTTTTAAGCACTCATCATTGTACAATTGTTCTATCTCCTGGATCCCTCCCTGCAGCCATGGTTGTAAATTCAGGGTCGGTATTATAGATTCTAGTGCTCTTATGGGAGCTGCTCTCGGCAGTGGTAGATAATGTACCATCAGGTGTTTTGTAGAGTCCCAATGTTGTAATATGTGTTGTGTGGTAGGTAGAAGATGGGTTGTGTCTTTTCTGTGTGGTTTGGGGGTCCAAAAGAGCGTGTGCAGCGTTAAGGCTTCTGCCCAGCTGTTCTCTGTTTCCAGCCATTGGGGTGATGAGGGGTGTGCCTTTAGTTGTGGAGTAAAGTTGGTTGGTTAGTATTTTTGATAGGGTCTTAAGGTATCCCTCGCTCTCACTTTTATTTATTTATTTATTTTTTTTATTATGAATATAGAGTAGGTAGGTACAACAGTGCCTGTATCGCCACATTAGCGTCACCAGGCTCTAACTTGTATACAGAACATAACAATAGTACAATATATGAAGTTCGTACATTTCACAGTTGCTGGGAAACTGTCATGTGGAGACATACATCTACATAGAGTAGCAAATGAACAAGGTTCTTCCACTTTTGGCTAGTTGGCTGATGCTCGGGTTAGTAAAGGGAGTAGAGGGAGAGGGAGTATGGCGTTGGATGTGCATAATGACGTATAGAGATCCGTTATATGCTCAGGTGTGAGCGTCAGGTTGCTTCTGTGGTTCCGGTTGTCAGGTACTCGTCAGTTGTCAGGTGTGTTCCTATAGCCTGGTGGCGGTGTCGCTCTCACTTTTAATGTCCATGAAGGATGAAGAATGAAGGATTTAATTTTATACATTTTATTAGTTCTAAAAGAGCTAAATTATTCAATCACTCTTTCCTTCATATTAGTAAGTTTGCATACCATGCAATTCACACAATAAAAAAAAAATAATTGCATTACCACAAGTGTAGTAATAAAAGCTTCCTTTTGTCAATAAAACTAGTAGTTATTTATTGTTTAAAATAAATATAAATGTAGGTTTTCCTTTTACAAAAATAAAATATACAAAATCAGACAGAGTGGTACACCCCAGGTGGATCCACATAATACTTATGATGGTTTTCAGGCTAAGCAGTATATTCTACAAAATATAAAAGCAATACATAGTACTTTCTGTACATACATAAAAACAGATAAAACACCAGTAGGATAAATCTCACACAGTATAGAGCCGTGTCAAGATCTGTATCAGGAGTTCCAGGGTGCCTATACAGGCAATGGCTAAAACTCCTCACGATTAAAGGTACAAGTAAGAACTGGAAAAGGAAGCTCCAAAGTAAGTATTAAAAACGTTATTATAAATAGAATTTGTAGGGACATAATATGCAGAGGAAACACTGCAAAAAAACAGAGAAATAGTCCCACAGTAAAAACAGATACAGCAAATGTGTTTTGACTCCTCCAGGAGCCTTCTACAGTGCTGACTTGGGCTTCACAACATCCCCATAAATACCCCCTTTTTGTAGTGTTTTCTCAAATTTTTTTGTTTTAATGTCTTGTTTTATATGCTTTTATGTATATACAGAAAGCACTATGTATTGTTTTTATATTTTGTAGAATATTCTGAATAACATCATAAGTACTATATGTGTGCATTTACCTGGGGTGTACCACTCTGATTTTGTAGACCTTTGTGCGGGTGTGATACTCCTTTTATTCAATTTTTGTGAAGTGCCTACACACCTTATTTGTATCCTTTCAAATTTATAAATATCAATATGTTATTTTACATATACCAGTTTTTATTTATAATTTTTCATAAATAATTATTATAAGAGCTAAAATGAAATATAAGCGGAACTTCTATTTTTTCTTTCTGCTGACTCTCCTTTACATTATAAGTTAATAATTATCTATCTTGTATCCAAACTTTCTCACATGTTAAATCTAAAATATTGTGTTTATATCCCTTTTCTAAAAATTTGTCTCTTTAAAACTTCTACTGTGCAGTTCTGTCTTATCCGTAAAAACTGTCCTTTAAGTATATTATCAAACAACGGTTTAAAATGATTACTTTCCACATGGTTAAAACTATTAACATCAACTTATTTTAAAAAGTAAATTTTTTTTTTTTATTATTATCAACGTAAATATCTAGAACAAGGAAAGTAATCTTTTTAGCATTTATTTCATAATTTAATATTTCAATCATTATTATAAAAAATAAAATACAAAATTAGCTTAAAAAAATTTAAAAGAAATCCAATAGGGAATCCTTTTCTTGTATGTACCTGGATTCTTAAAAGTAGCTCGTGTTACAGCTGTTACATTAGAGCTATACTAGATTGTTAGATTAATAAATCTTATTGACACAAATACCGAGAGTATGATATATCCTTTGCAAAAAGATTTCTCTCTGAATTCCTGAAACGTATCCTGACACAATTCTATGCTCATTTGCCATGCCATAAAATGTGTAATTTTACCAAATGTTTTAATTGACTAGTTTAATCATATTTTTAGCTTCGATGTTCCAACATTTTACATCTTTTCCTCTGTCATAACTGGAGCTGGTAAAACACACTGGGATTCTCTGAAGGAGGTGCAATTATCCTGACTTTCAAGGTAGCACTTGCTGGTTTTATGTTGCGGTCTAGTAGTTATGTACCTGCTCATTAAGCTTTTTGCCAGCCAAGAGATAATGAACCCCTGCATTTTATTCAAGTTTAGCTATTCTACATTTCTTCCCCATCCCTGTAACTATCTGGTGAAAAGTGGCTGGAGAGAGACAAGTCAAATACAGTAAGATTGTTGTTGTTTTTTTTTAATGGTTTTGTTAAAACTCTTTGTATTTGTGCTTAATAATTTTATTAAATTCCGCTAAATATTGTACATTGGGAGGAGGCAGAGTATTGTTCATTCGGAAATGCTATTACAGTAGACATTTTATATTTTTATGACTTTAATAAGGTTCCATATGCTTTGTAGACTTCTCAAAATTGCAGAGTTAAGGTCACATGTTGCTAGAATAATGGTAGCACCATGCATGCCATTATATTGCACAGCGCTAATGTGCAGTCCTGCTGTTATGGAGGAGTAGTTCTTCGCCTTTGGTCTTAATAATTAATCAAGCTGTAGTTATTTAAAAAGGCTAGTCAACGTATGTTTTTGAAGTTAAAAATGTATAAACTCCATAAAATACAATGAGTCATTTACGTAAAGCGAAATTACATAAATAGCCTGATAAAACTGTATAATTTCAAATAACTGCTTATAGCTATGCATTACACATTGTACTTAAAGGACCACTATAGTGCAGGGAAAACATACTCGTTTTCCTGGCACTATAGTGCCCTGAGGGTGCCATCACCCTCAGGGTCCCACTATCGCCGGGTTGGATGGCGAGGAAAGGGTTAAATCTTACCTTTTTTTCCAGCGCCGGGCGGGGAGCTCTCCTCCTCCTCCTCTTTGGCTGAATGCGCATGGAGCTGCACGCGCATTCAGCCAGTCTCATAGGAAAGCATTCATGTGATTTTCACAGTGAGACGCACGCAAACGCCTCTAGCGGCTGTCAATGAGAGAGCCTTTAGAGGCTGGATTAACCTATTTATAAACATAGCATTGCTCTATTTGTAGTGGCCACGGCCTACCCATCAGTTCCCCTGCCATGTCTTCCACCATTGACCAAAATGGCCTGAGTTTTACGCAGAACTACCATGTGTGTCCCATCGTGCCCCCCTTCATCCCGCACCACCAACACACATTGGGGGAGCCCGGGTATATCACTGATAGCTTTTCTGGCACCAAGTACCATCTGCAGTGCAGTTTTCTAATGGTCTCAAAGTGTGTGGTGCATAGCATGTTGCCTTTATGGATCTCAAAGGCTCGCTTCCATCTGTCTGGCTCTAGGGTGTACACCAGTTCCTTTTGAAATGTCATTGCGACTTCTACGTCATCCTGTAGGAGCGTGTTGTATAGTGTGGAAAGTGTTTTCTTAGGGGGCTTGGGTGTCAAGCATAATTGTTATACCGTGGGCTTTTGTGGTGTTGCTGGGCTCTGTAATTTTACCCCCTTAAGCAGTGATTTCAATTGTAGGTACGGGAACATGGCTCTACTGGGTAAGTGATATAGTGTTTGGAGAGTCGGGAAGGGCAGTAGTTTGTCATCCTTGTAGAGGTGTTTAATTGTGGTACATCCCCCTTCTCTCCATTTTGTGTGATCAAATGTTGGGATTCCCACTGCTAGGCTAGAAATCGGGGCATCCCATGACGTTCTCCCAGGATCTCCCTTTCTGTCCCTGATTTCATCCCAGATTTTTAGAGTCAAGGATATGGCCAGGAGGGGATTGATATGTGGGGGGTGTAGATGTCCTGGGAGCAAAAACAGGTTATATAGTCCCTGTCCTCCCGCCCAGTGTGCTTCTATCTGGGTCCATTGTGGGGTGTCCCCTTCTACAGTAGCTACTTTGACTGCTGCCAATTGTGCCGCTTTGTAGTAACAGTGGACGTTTGGAAGCCCCAAGCCTCCCATTCTAACCGGCTGTTGCAAGATTGAGGTAGCCACTCTGGGTTCTTCTTAGCCCATATGAAGCATACGATAAGATTCTGCAGGGAGGCTAAGTAGGTTTTTGGTATTGCTATGGGCAGGGTGTGTAGCAGTTATTGGAATTTCGGCAGTAGCATCATTATTATTGCTGCTAATCTCCCCACCCAGGATAGGTATTTGCACTCCCACTTCTCCCGTGTTGCAGCAATTTCCTTTAGGAGTTTTGTGTAATTTTTTTCAAAAAACTTATTTAGTTGGGGTGGGATGTTGATGCCCAGGAATGTTAAGTGATCGGACCTCCAGTCAAAGGGAAAGGCAGCTGTTCCATTTGTATTCCTATCCCCATGGCTTGGGTCTTCGAGGTATTACGTTTATAGTATGAGTGGCGTCCATACTATGTGATAGTTGCCACTAGGTTGGGTAGGGATATATGTGACAGTTTCAGAGTTAGCAGTATGTCGTCTGTGAATAGGTTGGCTTTGTATTCCCTGTCTGCCACCTTCACCCTGTGTATTGAGGTGTGTTGTCTTATGGCGGCCACTAGTGGCTCCAAGGCCATTACATATAGTATTGGGGACGTGCGCATCCCTGACTGGAACCATTAGAGACAAGGAAGGGATCCGATACAAACACCGCATTCAAGACGCGTGCCAATGCCTTGTTATATAGAGCCCTGACTGCTGAGAGGAAGCCCTCCGGTGCCCCAAATTTAATGAGGACTGCTTCAAGGAACCCCCATCCCAGTGGGTCAAAGGCCTTTTC